GTAGAAATTATTGAAATAAATTCCGAAAAAATCGTCTTTAAAACTACTTATCCTTGAGCCTTTTGTTTAAATGCTAATCAGGAGAGCAAATTAAAATATTATTCTCTTCCTACTAATTTCCTTAATTGTCAAAAATTACAAAAAATAGTCTCAAATTATGATTTTTCTCCAATCATTACCAGTGTTTCAATAATTAACACCAGTTCTCCCCCTTTGAGAGACTACCAATTGACAGACGTAAAATTTCTCAGTCAATTAAAAAGCGTAGCCGTTTTTAGTGAAATGCGGACGGGAAAGACCCCTATTTCCTTAATGACTTTTCAGCAATGGCCGGTAAGTAATCTTTTAATTATTACTCCCAGTATTTTGCAGCAGCAGTGGCAAAAATCAGTGGAAGAGTGGTTAATTAAACCAGCCTATATTATTACTTATTTAGACAAAGAACAACGTTATAATTTTTATCAAAAAATTACTTACTGAGCAAGAATTAATTATTATTGTCTCAAAGGACACTTTTAAAATTGACAGCCCTCGTTTTAAAAAAATCAAGAAAAAGCAGGGAATGAACCATCTTTATTGTGTTATTGTGGATGAAGCCCATTTTCTCCGTAATCACCAATCGCAGCAAAGCAAAAGTATTTATACCCTTAAGGACGCACCCTATAAAATGGCTCTTACTGGCACCCCCGTGGTTAATCGCTCACCTGACATATTTGGTATTCTCAAATTCCTGGACCCAGAAGCCTACTCTTCTTACTGAAAATTTGCCGAGCAATATTTTTATATCCATAAGTCAGAAATTCGCCGCGGAAAAAAAGTATACAAAATTTTTCAAGTTAGAGACTTTAAGAACGATGATTTGCGCCGAGAATTACAAAAAAAAATCGGTCAGTTTTCAGTTAATCGCCGACAAAAAGAAGTTTTGCCCTGATTACCACCGGTCATTTATCAGAAAGAATATTTACTAATGGAAGAAGAACAACAAAGTATTTATTCCCAATGACGAGAGAAGTGGAAAGATTATCAACCGCTCGAAGTATTAGCCCATTTAAAAACCCTTACTCTTTACCCACCGGCTTTGGGCTTACCGGGACCAGGCAGTAAAATTAATTATTTGCTGAGTTTTCTGGCCGAAAGAAAAGGACAAAACATAATCGTTTTTTCAACTCGCAGTGAAACTTTTTTAGAACCTTTAGCCCAAGCCTTAGCCGCAAAAAAAATCGCCACTGGTCTTATTATTGGCAAAACTAGTTATCAAGAAAGGGAAGAGTATATTAACAAATTTCAAAAAGGGGAATTAGATATTTTGCTATGTAATATTCAAAGTGCGGGGGTGGGATTAAACCTGAGCCGAGCCGAAACCATTATTTTTGCTGACCGCAGTTATTCTCCGGCTGATAACGAGCAAGCCGAAGCTCGTTTCTTGCCGACCACTAATTCAGAACCTTCTCGTGTTCGCTTAGTAATTGACCTTATTTGTAAAGGAACCATTGATGAAAAAATACTTCAATTACTCAAAAGAAAAGAAGATATAATTAAAGTTCTGAATGAGAATCCTAGTTATTTTTTTACTTAATCTCTTTTTATTATATTTTGGATAAGAACAGAAAAATATATACATATCAAATAAATGTCCGCTCATCGAAAAAGGTCCAAAAAAAAAATTTTTCTTCTTTTAATTATTATTTTTTCTCATGTTTTTCCAGTCTTGTTGTCTGCCTTTTATGACAAGGCCACTCATACCAGTCATAATGTTAAGTTAAGTGAATTAAAGTATTGATTATGGGCTTTTACTTGATGATCGGCTTGGGCTTCCTTGTTGACAGTTCCTTGAGCAATTTATAAATTATTTACTCCGAAAAGAAAAAAAAGTAGTTTTGGTGAACAAATGTGGGATATAATAATCGCAGAAACTAACTTCTTAAGTGGAGTTATTTTTTGTTGTGGAGGGTTTTATTTAACTCTTCACACCGCATTCAAAAATCCCGAAATAGTTTATCCCCTTTTAGGTAATGTCAAAACCATATATGTTTGGCTTATTTATAACTTCTTTTGGCATGTTTTGGCTCCAGGTCTGACTTTTTATTATTTTTGAAAATATTGTCGAGTTGACAAGTTAGCAAAAAAAAAATCACGCGGTTTAACTGTCAACACGCTTAATCCCACCACTTACTTCCTTTACATTATGGTGCGGCCACTAATAAGCAATTTTTCTAAGCCGCCTTCCGCTGCTCTGCCTCGCCATTATCCTCCGAATTATCCTTATCCTCCTTTTTTTTGAATTATGGGAGAGTTCGCTAATGGCAATGAACAAAGGGCGGGCCAAAGTAAGTTTTTATTTTGGAGTTGGCAGCCAGGTTGATTACCAGGTTTAATTTGGTTAACAATAACCACTATTTTTTGATATATAGTTTTTTCAATTTTATTCCATTTTCTGGTAAAAATGAAGACAAAGAAGTTATGAAGAAAAAATCTAAACAATAGGCTTGAATTTCAACAAGTTGGCTAAATCACTATCTTTAATATACAAGGCAGTGGTGGAAACTCTACTATGACCCAAAACTTTTTGAAGAATGTTTAAAGGCATTCCAGCTAAGAGATTATAAGTAGCAAAACAACGACGTAAAGTGTGGGGGGCTAATTCAATATTAGGACTAATATTTAAGTCATAGCGAATTCTGTTTAAAAACTCTCAAAAATCACGTCGGCTAGTCTTGTTCGGTTCTCAATTATACTTTTTTAATATTTCTATTATCTCTGGAGTAATATAAACATAACGGTCTTTTCTTCTTTTGCCACGGAGTAAATATAAATCACTATACTCTGGTTCGGGGTGTTTTAATTCTAAATTAAAATTAATTGCCTCAGTTACTCGTAATCCTGCTTTTCAGCAAAGAAGAAATAAACAGTAATGTAGTCATCTCTTTCTTTCACTTTTATGATTAGGTCGGGTAGCGATAAATTCCTGAATTTCTTGTAAAAGTTGCTGAGAAGGCAATTGCTGTAAGCGTTTTTTGGGTTTTTTCATAAAAAAGAAAAATTATAGAAAATTGTGTTAGCACCTCATATTAAAAAAGCTATACTAGGAAAGGTAAGACAAACTTTCCACAGGATTAGTTTTAATTTGTAAGTGAAAAAATTTATTTTGCTTCCAGATATCCGCGACTATTTGTTCACGAATCTCTTGATTTGGAAAATAAGGCAAAAGTAATTCTCGTAAAAAATTGCGAAAAGAAGAAGCTTGGCTATAATTTTCTTTTTCCAATCAATCTGCATTTTTACTTCTCTCTTCTTTAGCCTTGTTGGCAATTTGTTTTGCTAAACTATCTGATACTCTCTCTTTTTCATCTTTGGTAGCTAAGTCAGGAGAAGAAATAAGTAAATCATAATAACCATAACTTTCTCAATCATTATATGCTTCTCCTTTATTTCACAAATCATCTACGCTTTTAATAATTCGAGTCAAACTGTTGATCAAACTTTCATAGTTATTATACTCAGCAAACTTATTAATTTCTTCCTCTAATTGCTTGTTGACTTTTACACCCACTTCCTTAAAGGAGATTTTTTTCTTTTCTAATAGTGAAGAAAGAAAAATTAGGTAAGATTTGGTATTATAAGCTTTTTTTGCTTGGGCTAACAACTGGTCGATTTTTTGTCCAGAATCACCCTTTGATGGAATAACCAGCAACTCTAAGGAAGATTTGCTTATCTTTCCTTCTTTTGACGGAAGAATTTTTCATTTATCTTCATTAACCGCTTCTTCAGCATTTCTAACATTATTATCAAGAAGAATATAATTTTTTATCTTTTGTTTTTGTTCCCAGTTTAGTTGTTCTTGTCCATGATGAAGAAAACTAATAAATTTACGAACCTTACTTCTCAAAAGATGTCGCAAAGAAGGATTTTGAATAATTTTCTCAGTAAGCAGCTTTATTCCCGCAAATTCTTTTTCTTTATAATTTGGCAGCTTGCTCTCTAATTCTTCTAATTCTTGTTGGGCTAATTTACCAATATTTCTTCTTGGTATCAAGGCACTAATTGACGAAAGGTTTGTCGCTAAGCCAATAAAATCGACAACTACCCCAACTGTCTTTCTTGGGTAAGAACGATTAACTCTTTTAATTGTCTGATTAAGAGTATGAAGTTGTCTGATGCGTTTGTCAATATACAATAGGGACAAATGTGGTATATCAATTCCTGTTGTCAATCTGTCTACTACTATCATAATTTTGCAAGAAGGATCATTCTTATCTTTGAATTCCTTAGTTCATTTTTCCTTTTCTTCTTCACTTTTAATTATTTCACGCA